CGTGACCCTGGCTGCAACTAGTGCTGCCGGTGCCTCTGGCTGCAACTAGCGCGAGCCGGACCCCGGTGCCCTGGCTGCAACTAGTGCGAGCCAACCCGGTGCCTGGCTGCAACTAGTGCAGGCCAAGCCCGGTGCCTGGCTGCAACTAGCGGACCCCGGTGCCTGGCTGCAACTGTCCTGGTGCAACTAGTGCAGGCCAAGCCCGGTGCCTGGCTGCAACTAGTGCAGGCCAAGCCCGGTGCCTGGCTGCAACTAGTGCAGGCCAAGCCCGGTGCCTGGCTGCAACTAGTGCAGGCCCCCCGGACCCGGTGCCTGGCTGCAACTAGTGCGAGCCGGACCCGGTGCCTGGCTGCAACTAGTGCGAGCCGGACCCGGTGCCTGGCTGCAACTAGTGCGGCCGGACCCGGTGCCTGGCTGCAACTAGTGCAGGCCGGACCCGGTGCCTGGCTGCAACTAGTGCAGCCGGCCCGGTGCCTGGCTGCAACTAGTGCAGCCCCGGACCCGGTGCCTGGCTGCAACTAGTGCGAGGCCAACCCGGTGCCTGGCTGCAACTAGTGCGAGGCCGGACCCGGTGCCTGGCTGCAACTAGTGCGCCAAGCCCGGACCCCGGTGCCTAGGCTGCCCAAGCCCTAGTGCCTGGCTGCAACTAGTTGCAGGCCTCTCCCCCCGGTGCCTGGCTGCAACTAGTGCGAGCCAAGCCCGGTGCCTGGCTGCAACTAGTGCAGGCCGGAAGCCCGGTGCCTGGCTGCAACTAGTGCAGGCCCAACCCGGTGCCTGGCTGCAACTAGTGCATGCCGGCCAACCTCCCCGGTGCCTGGCTGCAATCTAGTGCGAGCCGGACCCGGTGCCTGGCTGCACCCCCTGCCAGTGCAACTAGCGCCGGCCCCGGTGCCTGGCTGCAACTAGTGCGCAGGCCAACCCGGTGCCTGGCTGCAACTAGTGCGAGCCAACCCGGTGCCTGGCTGCAACTAGTGCACGAGCCGGACCCGGTGCCTGGCTGCAACTAGTGCGAGCCGGACCCGGTGCCTGGCTGCAACTAGTGCGCAAAGCCAACCCGGTGCCTGGCTGCAACTAGTGCAGGCCAACCCGGTGCCTGGCTGCAACTAGTGCGCAGGCCGGACCCGGTGCCTGGCTGCAACTATTGCCCAGGCCAAAGACCACTCCCGGTGCCGAGCCCCCCAGCGTGCCTGCCAACTAGTGCAGCCGGACCCGGTGCCCTGGCTGCAACTAGTGCGAGCCAAGCCCGGTGCCTGGCTGCAACTAGTGCGGCACAACCCCCGGTGCCTGGCCTGCAACTAGTGCAAGGCTGGCAACAATTGCGCCCGGACCCCTGCCTGGCTGCAACCTAGCTGCGAGCCGGACTTCCGGCATCAACCTGGCCACAGCCCGGTGCAACTAGCCTACCGAGCCGGACCCGGTGCCCTGGCTGCAACCGCTGTAAAAAAACCAAACTATCTTAGTGCAGTGGCGAGCCCGGTGCCTGGCTGCAACTACCCGAGCCAAGACCCGGTGCCTGGCTGCAACTAGTGACCGAAGCCCCGCTGTACCCTTGGCCCCACCCAATCACCTGCCATGCAGAGCCCCCTCCCACCGGTCCCTGGCAACTAGTGCGACCCCACCCGGGTGCTGGCTGCAAACTAGTGCGAGCCGGACCCGGTTGCCTGGCACCAACTAGTGCGAGCCGGCCAACCCGGTGCCTGGCTGCAACTAGTGCGAGCCAGCCCCCCGGTCCCTGGCTGCATTACTAGTGCAGAGCCAACCCGGTGCCTGCTGCAAACTAGTGCAGGCCTAAACCCGGTGCTTCTAGGCTGGCACCTCAGGCCAAGCCCCCTGGGCCCCGGACCCGGTGCCCTGGCTGCCCTAGTGCGAGCCCCACCACCCCGGTGCCTGGCCTGCAACCTAGTGCGAGCCGCCACCCGGTGCCTGGCTGCACACCTGGCTGGACTAGTGCCTACGATTCCGGCAGGCCAAGCCCCCGGTGCCTGGCTGCAACTAGTGCAGGCCAAGCCCGGTGCCTGGCTGCAACTAGTGCGAGCCGGACCCGATGCTGCCTGGCTGCAACTAGTGCGAGCCGGACCCCGGTGCCTGGCTGCACACTAGTGCGAGCCAACCCGGTTGCCTGGCTGCAACTAGTGTCGAGCCGGACCCCCCCGGTGCCTGGCTGCAACTAGTGCAGAGCCAAACCCGGTGCCTGGCTGCCAACTAGTGCAGCCAAGCCCGGTGCCTGGCTGCAACTAGTGCGAGCCGGACCCGGTTGCCTGGCTGCAACTAGTGCGAGCCGGACCCGGTGCCTGGCTGCAACTAGTGCGAGCCGGACCCGGTGCCTGGCTGCAACTAGTGCGAGCCGGACCCCCCCCTGGCTGCAACTAGTGCGAGGCCGGACCCGGTGCCTGGCTGCAACCAAGTGGCCGAGCCCCCCCGGTAGCCTGGCTGCCAACTACCCACACCCCCCCCCCCCCCTCGCCACCCCAACCCCACCCCCCGACCCCCACTTCCGCCAACCCCCACCAGTGTCTCACCCCCCCCCACCACCTCGATGACCACCCAAGCAAGACTCACACCCTTACACCCCCCCCCTCCCATATTTTTACCGCCCCCATAGGGGTGCTGATAGATTGTGAAAGGCCCTACACCACTGGCTCCCATTTTACCCCCCACCCTCCCTCACACCCACTGGCCCCTACCCCCTCCCCAACTTACCGTCCAGCTCCCCACCCCCCCTGCACCCCCAACCACACCCCCAGACCCCTCCCACCCCCCCCACCCACTCCCAACCCCCCCCCGCACACATATGGGTGCTGCAGATGGTCGGAACCATGGGCTCCGGCACCCCTAATCTGCCATGGGTGGGGGGGGGGGGACCGACCCCCCCCCCCCCCCCCCCCCCCCCCCCCCCCCCCCCCCCACCCCCCCCCCCCCCCCCCCCCCCCCCCCCCCCCCCCCCCCCCCCCCCCCCCCCCCCCCCCCACCCCCCCCCCCCCCCCCCCCTGGCCCCCCCCCCCCCCCCCCCCCCCCCCCCCCCCCCCCCCCCCCCCCCCCCCCCCCCCCCCCCCACCCCCCCCCCCCTCCAGGACTCCCCCCCCCCACCCCCCTCCCATTACCCCTACCACCCTGCTCCACAGGTCCACCCCCCTCTCAGTTGCCCATGCATGCCCAACTTCATTCAAGGTCTCCTCACACTGCTGGTGTTTTGAATTTTTTGACATAGTGCAAAATGCTGGCAGAATACCCCCACTAATCCTTGCTAATCCCAGGCCCCTAATCTGCCATGGGCCCCTATAGCCACCGCCCCCTCATCAGCTGCTACCCCCCAGAGTCTCTCCAGGGTCCCTGTACGCAAACGAACCCTCCCCATTGCTGCTGAGCCCCTCCATCCCCACTCTGCATGTGCCACTTTCAGGTCTCCTCACACACTGCTGGTGTGTTGACCCATTTTTTGACCATAGGGTGCTGGCGATTACGGGCCCCTCCCATAAGCTGCTGCCAGGCCCCCCTAATCTGCCATGGGCCCCTATACCGCCGCCTCCATCATGGCTGCCAGGCTCCAGGGTCCACAGTCTCTCATGCCATGTGCCACTTTCAGGTCTCCTCACACACTGCTGGTGTGTTGAATTTTTTGACATAGGGTGCTGGCAGATTACGGGCCTCCCATTACTGCTGCCAGGCCCCGTAATCTGCCATGGGCCCCCGTACCGACTCCTCATGCTGTGACGTTGCAACAAGGTGGAATTCAACCCTACATATGTTAGACCCCCTTTACGAACAGCAAAAGGCCATCACAGATTTCCTGATGTTAAAAGCGGATAAAGGTACTCCCTGTGTAACTTAGATGTCAGCCATTGGCAGCTCATGCGTGACACCTGCGCTTGCTCAGGCCCTTTGAGGAGGCCACGCTATTCGTGAGTCGGCAGGACTATGGGATGAACGACGTCATTCCTCTGTTGCACGTCCTGGAACAAATGCTGTTAATAATGGCTGGTCAGGGTGCGGTAGACGTGGCGCACAGATCTCAACGCCACATGACCCCTGTGGGGGCAGGACAGGAAGAAGAGGAGGAGGTAGAGGAGGACATTGGTGCTCAGTAATTATTGAGTGAAATGGGTGGTTTTTCCACTCAGCGGACAGGAGTGGAGGAGCAGGAGCATCTGGTAGAGGAGGAGGAAGAGGAGACAGAGGACCCAGACGCACCGTGGCAGTATGCTGTGGAGATGGAGGCAGGGAGTCCCTCGCATTCCTTGGCACAAATGGCCCATAGCATGCTCGCTTGCTTGCGTACCGACAGCCGAATAATAACCATCAGACAGAGGGATGACTTTTGGCTGTCCACCTTGTTGGACCCTCGCTACCGTTCCAAAATGGTGGCCTTTTTCACACCTGCTGAGAGGGAGGCCAAAATAACGTACTATAAAAACCACCTATGTAGTCAGCTGGTCTCTGCCTGTCTGCGCCAACGTCCATCCTCAGACACTGTGGGCCCTGTGCGCTTGCGTTTACGCTGCCATGGCAGCAGGGGAGGGGTGGGGTGGTAGGAGCAGTGGCAGCTCCACCAGCAGCAGCTGGCCCTCAGTCTGCAGTCGATGATGAGTAGCTTTCTTCACCAGCGCAGTGAGGAAACTAATAACCAGCCGCAGCAGCAGCAGCAGCAGCATCAGGTGGACCTGGAGCAGGACCTCAAACAACAGGCTTAGGCCTACTTGGACAGCACCCTGCCAACCGAGGTAGACAATCCCCTTGACTACTGGGCAACGAAACTTGACCTTTGGCCCCAACTAGCTGAATTTGCCCTTGAAAGGCTGTCATGCCCGGCCAGTAGCGTGGCATCGGAGCGCGTGTTTAGTGCGGCAGGAGGTATTGTAACTCCGCGGAGGACACGACTGTCCACCCAAAGTGTGGAGAGACTCACGTTTGTGAAAATGAATCAGGCGTGGATTAGTCTGGATTTCAAACCACCAGTTCCTGACACAACTGACTAAATCCGCCATGAATCATGCCCCAAACATGTGCCACTTTCAGGTCTCCTCACACTGCTGGTGTGTTCCATTTTTTGTCATAGGGTGCTGGCAGATTACGGGCCTCCCATAGCTGCTGCCAGGCCCCTAATCTGCCATGGGCCCCTATACCGCCTCCTCATGCTGCTGCCAGGTCCAGAGTCTGTCATGGGTCCCTGTACGGCCTCCCATTGCTGCTGTCTCCATCGCCACACTCTGCCATGTGCCACTTTCAGGTCTCCTCACACACTGCTGGTGTGTTGAATTTTTTGTCATAGGGTGCTGGCAGATTACGGGCCTCCTATAGCTGCTGCCAGGCCCCTAATCTGCCATGGGCCCCTATACCGCCTCCTCATGCTGCTGCTGCCAGGTCCAGAGTCTGTCATGGGTCCCTGTACGGCCTCCCATTGCTGCTGTCTCCATCGCCACACTCTGCCATGTGCCACTTTCAGGTCTCCTCACACACTGCTGGTGTGTTCCATTTTTTGTCATAGGGTGCTGGCAGATTACGGGCCTCCCATTGCTGCTGCCAGGCCTGTAATCTGCCATGGGCCCCCGTACCGCCTGGTCACGCTGCTGCTGGGTCCACAGTGTGACATGGGTCCCTGTACCGCCTCCCATTGCTCCCACTCTGCCATGTGCCACTTTCAGGTCTCCTCACACTCCTGCTGGTTTCCATTTTGTCATAGGTTGCTGGCAGATTACAGGCCTCCCATAGGTGCTGCCAGGCCCCAAATCTACCATGGGCCCCCGTACCGCCTCGTCACGCTGCTGCTGGGTCCACAGTGTGACATGGGTCCCTGTACCGCCTCCCATTGCTCCCACTCTGCCATGTGCCACTTTGAGGTCTCCTCACACTCCTGCTGGTTTCCATTTTGTCATAGGTTGCTGTATGGCCTCACATTGCTGCTGCCTCCACCGCCCACACTGTGGCTCCAAACACTGGTTTTGGCCCCGTGACTGGCCAAATGAGTGAAGTGTGCGGTGATTCTAAGATCGACGGCACTCATCTGCATGTCATACTGACTGACAGTATTATTTCTCTTCCCCAGCAGACTCCAAGGGCATTTAAATTAAAGGTACAGTGTTCTGCACTAATATTAAGTCTCTCTGAAGCCTAGAAACACCCTTTTTTAAGTTAAATTCACAGCGAATATTCGACTCGAATCGAATATTGTCCACGAATTCGCCAAATCAGTCGAATCGAATTTTTGAATACTTCGCTCATCTCTAGTGGCAACTAAATTTACCAAAATACAATTTATCAAAATACAAACTAAATCTAACTTTCTAAACCTAGCACCTATCTAGGACGGTGCTACACTTATATTGGATGGTCAAAAATAACTATTGTTTGTATTGCAATTACAATGCTGATGTTATAAAATTAAAGTGTATGAGGTGAACATAGAACTACTTTAACCTAGCAGAAAAAAATAGATTGCTCTCTGATGTTGCATTAAAGTGGTTATAAACCTCAGACATGAATTATGAACAAAGCACATCCCTCTATAGTGTGTACTTGTCTCAGTCCAGAGCACTAAGTGTCTTTTCTCTCTGCTGCCTCCTTACTCTGCTAGTTACATGAATCACTTCTGACAAGTTTTTCTGACACCAAAAGAAAGAAGGTGATGGGCAGGGACCTCCAGCACACAGCTTGTGATTGACAGCCTCATCTTTGTTCCTGTGTGTAGGTGGTGTGTCAGTTTCCTCCAATTAGCTCTCACTGAGCTCTGTGGAGTGAAACCTCAGCTCCTCATCCTGCTTTCCTGTAACTGTATACATTCTGCACTTTGAACATCTGTAAAGAAGAGAAGACTGCAAATAATCAGGTACAACTTATGTAGGGGATTTGTTTCATCTCTCTGTTTCACCAGTCATTTCACCGAGTATATGTGATGGTTTGCAACCACTTTAACATTTATTTATTTTTACAAGGGTTTATGCAAAAAAAAATTTATTGACACAAAAATGATATCCATAGTTCATATTCTATACCATGATACAGTTTTTTTTGTCCAGTAAATTTGGAAATGTGGGTATCAGCCCCTTCTGCAGCCTTTCACCTGGTGACTTAATAACTAATGAAGCAAGAATGAGCAAAGATAATGACAGCACTGAAGCTTGTTTCTTTAAAAACAAGAAAACAATGGCAGCCATAAGTCTATCCTAACAATTTCCCATAAAATTGTTTTTTTTTTTCTATTCTGTCATTACTAGAGCTGAAATCTGGTAGACAAATCTTGATAAGAACAAAACAAATGATGTGTAGTTCAATGTAAATCAATTTGCAATGTGCTGTCTTGATCAGCATCCCTTCCAATGCACATAATTGTTGGAAAATAGCTTTCTGTATTCTGCGCTATTACACACATTATCAAATCATATGTAATTATATGGTAGAGTCCCCTGCAAAGCACTGTGTTTTGATACTGCTCTGAAATGTTTCAGAAGTAGCATCAATTGATCTCCCTTTACGTTGTTTTTCAGTGAAATAAAAGAAATAGCGAAATGCTATTGTATATCACATTAATTAAGACCAAATTGGCACAATTAACTGGCTTTTTTTCTTATTATTATCATCATCCATATTTTTTTTCCCATGATAAGAAACAAAGATAATTGTGTTTTTAAAAACTAAACTTAGACCAGCAAACAGGTTTAACTGCAAAAAATAATATTTTTTGGTTAATTCTATTGATAATTTTCTGTTAACTTCATAAACTTTATATTGTTTATGTCGATCCTGGGTTTAATTTATACTGAAGTCACAGCAAACTGTAACAGGGATGTTGCATTTGTATCGCCCGATGCCCAGGAGATGTAGTTGCGGGTGTCAAGCAGGTAGCTTTTTTCAACCTGTAACACTGCTGTGGGCAAGCAGCAGGGCTCTCCTGTCAGGAGAATGAATTCGGACAGCAGCGCTGCTACCCGATTGCTTTCACAAAGTGCACCACGGTGTCAGCCCCCCCCCCCTTGCCTGTGAACCTCCCCTGCTCGCCAAGTCTCCTGGGCTCCGATTGCCCCTCTGTGGGCCCGGGACTGGCTTAGTATGCACCAGCAGCTAGAGGGGAGCTCCCCTCCCCTTCTTGTCCTGACCCAGAAGTGATGTTTGACGTCATTTCCAGGTCCCTGTTCACAGATTGAGGTGAGGAAATAATGTAATGCAGTGTGATATGCACTGCATTACATTCAGGGAAGACATGCAGGGTGATGAAACAACGCCTCTTAGAAAAGCACAAAGGATTTTTAAATTATGAGCTACCTAAAGGTCTTAAAAACCATATCTCTTTCCTTTTTAGAATTTAAGGGCTGTTGATTTGCATTATATATTTTTTTATTATATCTTTTGTTAATTTTACTTTATGAAACAAACAATTAATTAAAATATTACAATCACACATTTTTCATATAACATTTTACAAAATCCCCTACCCCCCCTCGGCCAGTCACCTTCTACTATTCTCATTTGTCATCTTGTTCCTCTATCTACCTTTTCCTTCTGTCCTCCACCTTCCTCTCTCCTTCCCCACCTAGCAGTAATGATAAAGAAAGGAAAAATAAACCTTCCATCTTTCTCCTTCCCCTCTTCTACACTCCTATCTGTTCTGAGTACCTCTTAGTTGTTTTAAAGCCTATCCATTTTTACCAGGTTTTTTTTAATGTTTTAATTTTATCCTCTCCAATATGATTTAGTTCCTCCATCCTGTATATTAACTCCACTCAATTTATTCAGTCTTTTATTTTTGGGGATTTCTGCCAAAATCTGGGGATCAATCCTTTAGATGCATTTATTAAATTAAATATCACCATGTTCCTATATTGTTTCACTGTAAGATCCGAGTTGTGAAATAAACAGACCCAAGGGTCTTTCGATATTCTAGTTTCCATTATCTCATGTATTTGTTGTTTTACTCCTTGCCAGAACTCTTGTATTTTAGGACACTCCCACCATATATGTGCCATAGTTCCTTCCATCCCACACCCTCTCCAACATAAAAGATGAACTCTGTGGTCGTTGCTTATATGCCACACCAGGTGTACAATACCATCTTGATAAACATTTGTTCATTTCTACTATGTTCATATCTATATCACCATGTGTTTTAAATATTTTCTTTTTTTCTTGCTCGTCCAATTTTGTTCCAAGCTCTGTTTCCCACTTTCCCAAGAACGGTGGATAAACAGATCCAGATATATTAGTAAAGATCTTATAAATGCAAGAAATTACATGTTTATGTATTGTTTCCTGACTGAAAAAATGTTCCAATGGATACATGTCCTCCACCGCCCTTAGTGGCTGCGGGAGCGCTGCAACAAAATGTCTCAGTTGATAGTAACGTCACTCATCTAACATAAAAAATAAACCTTTCTCTTTTTTTAAATCTAAAAAAAGAACATAATTCTCCTTTTTCAGTGATATCTTTCATGCATTATGATATATTTATCCACCAATCAGCCATGTCTTTTACTAAACCAACTGGCTCAGTTCTTTCTTTGCCATCATTACTGCTGATCATCAGTTATCCTTTGCCGGCTTTATACATTGGCTGCTGCCAGTTAATGCAGTGATACATTGGTGTGATAACACGCCACGCTTTTCTTCTAGCTGTGCTCTTCAACTCTAATTGATCCCCTTCCTGGGTTCCCTTGTTAGTTTTGGTTTACCAGAAGTGTTTGACCATGCTAAGGTAGATCAAATTTCATGCAGCCTCTCTGGACACCTACCTTGTTATTCAGATTCTTCTCCAACTCCACATATACTCAGGCTCTGAGGAAGAGGTTGTGTCCTCGAAACGCGTTAACCAGTTGGTCATCCAGGGTTCCATCGTATGGACTCAGATGTTGTTTGGATCATACATCTTGTTCAGTTTGACATGCCTGTGTTATTATGTCCATTGTGAGTATGATACCTATTTTTGTCTCTTTAATAAATTATTTTAAACGATAATGCACTAGTCGGTGCGCCCTTTTTCTGTTTCTCCATTTGTATCCAGTGTATTCGGACCACCCCGGTCTGTTGAGGGCAGCAAGCAGTGCATATTCCAGAAAATTCCAGAACATTCCTATTGGGTCTACTGAGTCCTTTCCTAGCGCAGGAGTAAAGTGTTTGTTATATTAAAGGGCATAACAACAATGATAGAAAAACAAATACAGTCACTTTGTTGAACGTAATAAAAACACAAGCTAAAAAGTTATATATTGTACTAATAACAAATAGCCAAACAAAGCTCACTGGTTATGCATGCATTTCCAAAGCCCCCATATATAGTAACAGTGGGGTGAACTATATCTCAATCCACAGAGTGTGGCCCCAATGTCCAGTGCATTTCAAGGCTGAAGTTCTTCCTCAGGGAAAACCATGAAGCCTTAACATTACAGGTAGAACTCACAAATACAAAGAAACAAATGCAAATATGAATACAGGACACAAAACACACAATGTTGATCACATACAACACTCAGAGATATAGCAGAAATCACATATAGAGACATTGCTATATATGAGGTCTTTGGAAATGCATGTATAGTCAGAGAGCCTTGTTTAGCTATTAGTCAATAGTACAGTATATTATATTAAACAGTTAAACCATTCAAATACCCAACCCTAATCGTGTACAAAGCAGGAAACACACCAAGAGGATATCCCCTCTAAATCACAAATCAAATAAATACCGTAGCTTGTGTTGCGCTAATTGTGAAATTTGCATACATCAAAAAATTCATAAATAATTTACAAATAATATATGTCCAATATAGGATAAACAAAAAGTGCTCAAAGGTGAACCATTGCCCTTAATTAAGGGGTCAAAGGATCTGTTAAGCCTCCAATTTGATATCACGGTGGTGCAATCTCACGTCGGTGGTTATATTGGAATGAAGATTTTCCATTATTCATCACAGAATACGGGGACTGTTCTATATACCTTATAAGGACTGTTTCACATATGTTTATTTAAAATATGTAATTTTGATATTGGTTCACTTTTGAGCACTTTTTGTTTATCCTTGGACATATATTATTTGTATATTATTTATGAATGTTTTGATGTATGCAAATTTCACTTGTTTTCATGTATGCAACACAAGCTACTTATTTGAA